CCTCCTCCTCCTCTCCGCGCCCCAGAGGAGGGCTTTACCCACCCGCTTTGTGCGGAGCTGCCCTCCCCGCAGCGCGGGCGGCGGGGATGGAGAGCTGTCGCCCTCCCTCCCGCCCTCCCTGCCACCCCACCACCACCCCCGGGGTTGGGGCCACCACCCCAAGCGATGCCCAGGGGCTCTCGGCCAAAAACCCCGGCCTCGCAGCACGGCGGCAGCCCCCCGCCATCCTTCCCGTGCAGGAGGATGGAGCAGAGCAAGGCTGGATGCTCCCAAGGTTCTACCTGTTGAAAAGGGGGGAGCTCCCCGAGGAGCTGGTGCTCTGCAAGAAGGTGGCCAGCACCCCACGGGGTGCAACCACGCACCCCCAGCTCCCACCAAACCCACCTCCTGACCTCAAGGCCTGGCCGAATCCCGGGTTCTGCCGGCGGGGCAGGGAAGTTTAGCCCGCAACTTGGAATTGCCGAAGGTTTATAGGGCAATAAAACGGAGGAAAACAAACGCGGAGAAGAGAGGAGGAGGAGGAGGAGGAAGAAAGGTTAAAACGCAGGCAAGGAGTAGGCAGTGGAGAGGAGGACAGGTTCAGGCTGGCAGTGCAGGGATCCCAGAGGAAGGGCGATGGCGAGACGCGCCGGACAGAGCTGGCTGGGCTTGGGAGGTTTTGCGGAGCCACACGACGGTGAAAGCTGGGAAGGGGAAAGCTGACAGAGAGGCGCACTCAAAATATATTGTCCCTGCAGAGCTCTCCGTGTGAAACACGCGCTGCAAGGCTCAGCCGCAGCTGTGACTCCCAAGGTACATAACCATTCCCCCATCGCCGAGGATGTGGGATGAGATAAAGGACCGTTACTGCAGGCATTACTGACCACCCTAAAATTCCTCTTAAATGCTCTTGGTTTTGAATACTTAAAATAACACGCAAACGTACTTAAGAGCAAGGGCCCTCAAGGCATGAGTGATTAAATACGGTTTAGCTGTCAGTTCTCCGCCTTTTGATAGCAGAAAATGACCCAGTTCTTGCTTCCAGGAGAAAGTTAGGGGCAACCAAATCACTGTTCTATCTTATCCCTACAGACCACAGCTGTCCCAACTTTGGTGAGATAGGAACATTGACCATGACTTGTTTCTGGGCAGTAGGAAGAGAACACAGGCTGTCTTTCAAAGCAAAATCCCAGCTCCCTATGATCCAACCATGGTCTTTGCTAATCCAGGTATCCAGACATCTAGGTAGAAGCAGTTCAAATGCCAGCAGAGTTCTGCTTTCCTCCTCTGGACGGGGGCTTTAGGCAAGACCTGATGAGCCTCACAAGGTCTGAAGACCAATGTCTTGAGCAAAAACTGAGCTTAGTCCAACACGGTGACCTCACAGTCAAATCTGACATCTCTTCGGCCAGAGGAGGAAGATTCCTTAGCACTACTGCAACACTTGGCTCACAGGAACTTTGTGGCTACCACAAACCATATGTAATCAAGGTAAGCTTCTCCAGCCCTCAACACCACATCCAGCCCTAGCCAATGGATATTAAATACCCACAGGACAATTTTGAAGCATTAAAAAAAAAAAAAAATAAGGGAAGATATTTTGCCTGAGATGCAGGGACCTTACTTTTGAGATCTCATGCAGGGCCTTCAAGTTATTATTTTCTGATCTCTGGAAGATATTTTGCCTGAGCTGCAGGGACCTTACTTTTGAGATCTCATGCAGACAGCTAACATTTTAATTGTCCTTACACTGCTCATACATGAATGACAGCAAGCTGTAAATGATGTGGGGCTCTTTCCATTTAAAAAAGTCTGTTTGTGCATTGAATTCCACCTGCCATACTCTAAAGCACCACACAAGAAGAGAGCTGCGTGCGCATGTCAGCAGAGGACCATTTTTCTGGTCTCCACAACTGGGGCAGATCATAGGATCATAGGAAAATTCATATTGGAAGAGATTTTAGGGCATCATGCAGTCCAACCTCCTACTCAAAGCGTGGTCAGGTAAAGAAGAGCCCCATGAGCAACAGAAGCTGGCCATACTTATTCACACTGAATTTCTGCTTACATCTAAGTTTCCTCCACCTGTAAATGGTGTGGGGCTCTTCCCATTTAAAAAAGTCTGTTTCTGCATTGAATTCCTCCTGCCATACTCTAAAGCATCACACAAGAAGAGAGCTGCGTGCGCATGTCAGCAGAGGACCATTTTTCTGGTCTCCACAACTGGGGCAGATCATAGGAAAATTCATATTGGAAGAGATTTTAGGACATCATGCAGTCCAACCTCCTACTCAAAGCATGGTCAGGTAAAGAAGAGTCCCATGAGCAACAGAAGTTGGCCATACTTATTCACACTGAATTTCTGCTTACATCTAAGTTTCCTCCAAGGCACATCTTCTGTTCCTGATTTATATGCTTGTGAACACAAGAGTGTTGGCAAGGGAACAAGGAAGAGCTCAGAGGGAGTCCCAAGGCACAGCCATTCACTTGGCTAAAAACCCCAAGGATCTGGTCCACTATCTTCCCACGGGAAGGTGACACTCCATTGGAGCCTATCACCGAGATGACCATGCCCAGAGGTAGGACCAGACACAGGACCTGGCTAACTCAAGAACATCAGTTGCCTAGAGGCTGAGAGCAGAAAGGCCCTAATATACTTCTTCCTCCTTTCCAAACTGACTCAGCTTCTGGCATGAACTGCCTTGGATATGAGAACAGGCATGAAACAATCATCGAGACAAGCATATCCGGAAACAGAAGTGACTCAGGATTTTAAATGGCTCATATTGAAGAGCATTCCAAGATTTACAGGTTTAAGTAGTGCTAACAATAGTCACAGGCAATGGAAACCGTGCTTCTCTTGAGGCCTGTTCATCCATGAGCAACAGCCATACAGACTTCCCCAGGAGCAACATATCTCACTCCACTCTGAGATGCCTTCTCCGAGGACTGTCTCCTCTGCTCGGGTCTCATCTGACACTGCCAGCAACCTGAAATAGTCTTGGGCATGAAGTTTTTCCAAGAATTTAAAAATCTAACCCCTCTTGCAGCCACACCACATGTCAAGTTCTCCTTACAAAGGTGGAGGAAGTGGCCATAATTGGGATCAGACAGGAAAGAAAGCACAAGGTAAGGAATTACAAAGGTGCAGTGACGTGAGCAGTGAGAGCAGAGCAAGATATGCAGCACCTAAAGAGCACCCTCAATGAGGAGGTCAGTGGACACGCACATTGCAACTGTTTCTGCCGCTCCAGATTGTAGAATCATAGAACGGTTTGGGTTGGAAGGGACCTTAAAGATCATCAAGTTCCAACCCCCTGCCCTGGGCAGGGACACCTCCCACCAGCCCAGGTTGCTCAAAGCCCCATCCAGCCTGGCCTTGAACACCTCCAGGGATGGGGCAGCCACAGCTTCTCTGGGCAACCTGTTCCAGTGTCTCACCACCCTCACAGCAAAGAATTTCTTCCTAATGTCTAATCTAAATCTTCCCTCTTCCAATTTAAAACGATTACCACTCGTCCTATTGCTCCACTCCCTGATAAAGATGTGATGATCCACACTGTATCAGCTCACACAAATCCTTGGCAGAGCGGGCACCCATGCACCACACAAGGTCTGCTTCTAGCTGCCAAACAGCAATAATCAAAATCTCCACTTGTTAAATCCCTCCTGGATTGTAGAGGCTGCACCAGACAGACTCCAAAGCTTTGCATGATCTGTGCCCCTTACGGTTTGGCTGCCACAGTAAGGGCTGGCTGGCTCACCACGCCAGCTAGCCCTGCAGAGACACCAAGGGAGGCCCTATTAACGATGGAGGCAGAAGAAGTCCTCCTTCATCCCAGCCGGTGCCGAGAGCCAACTGACCCATAAGGGAGGGGAGTACTCCTACCATCTGGCTGGTGTGTGATGGCAGAGTTAAAGACACAAGGGCTATTCAGGAGTAGCACAGGATGGCTTTGAACAACAGGGGATGCTGTTGCAGGGGGGAAGGATTTGGCGACGGAAGAAGGCATTAGCTCGCTCAGGAAGTCCAACTTTAGAGAACCTTTTCTTTGCGGGGGGGCTGAGGTGGGGAATGATGGGGTAGTACTATCTATAGCTGTCATTAGCTAGCAGGAATTGTCCTGATCTCTGCTCCGCTCTGAAGGAAAGGTAACCCTCCACTAAGAGCATCAGTCTCTGTGGATACATCCATCAATTTAGGAGGCATAAAAACATCCTGTGAAACCTGTAAGTAATTATCTTTTAATGCATCACTCCACCATAAGACTTTTTATTTACTTCTTAAAATAAACAACCTCCCTCCCTCCCTGCCCTGCTCTCCTCTACCTGCTGGAACACCTTCCTGAACTCCGGCACGCTCCAGGAGAGATGGCTTTGAGGCAAAACTCCTCTTATGGTGATCAAAGTTAAAATACAGCTGTTACCGTACCACTGAAGAGTAATCTCTCAAAATGGAAGTATAGCAGGCTGGGAATATCTTGTTAATAATTAGCTGAGCCTTTCCCCTCCCATGACCCTGCTCAACTAGCCAGAATAAAATTGTGCTTAGTTTTAGGTCCATGCTACAGTGCCCTTGAACCGAATGGGATTGCAGACTTAACCCATACTATAGCAAAGCAGGAGAGTCTTTTGTGAAGGTCTAGGCTGGAACAAGAGCTTAGGGATGTGAGGCATGGCTCCAGTACACCCACCTCTTTGGAGGCAAGTCCATGCCACCCCCATTCATGCCACCACACACCCGTACTCAGCATTCAAGGGAACTGGCTGGGATGGAGGACCAAGCCAGGGAACAGTGACCTTCTCCAGTGCTGAAAGGCAGAAGGGCAGAGTGCTGAGGGACACATGTCCTGACAACACAGCTCCCCAGGGGCTCTGGTGGTGCAGACCTGCTCCAAGGCTGAAGGCTCATCAGCACAGGGAGGGCACTGCAGTTAGAAAGGTCCTGACCACCTTGTGTGCAGGCAGCCATCTTGGCATGGAGAAGGTCCTGTTTTCCCCACATATAAGCTGCCCCTGAGCACAGCAGAGTCCTTTGCACCAGTCCTGCTTGAGGTGGCCTCTTCAAGATGACATCCACATTCACTTCGAGGCCCTCTTATACTGTTGGGGGAAGCAACCAGCCTGTAGTCACTAAAAGCATATAGGTGGTTGATACGGGCAGGAAACCAGAAGAAGAGATACTGTGGCTGCACAGGGGTCCAACCCCTTCCCTGAAAACTGCAGGTTCCACTCACCGCCAAGGAACATCGTGCTGACACCCCCTCCCAAAGAGCTGGGACAAGGGAGCTGTTGTCTCCCATCACTCCTTTCTCACTCCAAGCACCCAGAGCTATGTCGACAGCCCTACAGACCCAACTCCTGCCCCGCTGTCCTGGCGTTACCCTGTGCTCACTCTCCATCCCCACTGGGCCAGCTGCCCCT